TGCAGTTGCCTAGCCAGTCTCCAGACCTGAACCCAATAGAAAATCTTTGGAGGGAGCTGAATGTCCGTAATGCCCAGCGACAGCCCCGAAACCTGAAGGATCTGGAGAAGGTCTGTATGGAGGAGTGGGCCAAAATCCCTGCTGCAGTGTGTGCAAACCTGGTCAAGACCTACAGGAAACGTATGGTCTCTGTAATTGCAAACAAAGGTTTCTGTACCAAATATTAAGTTCTGCTTTTCTGATGTATCAAATACTTATGTCACGCAATAAAATGCTAATTATTTACTTAAAAATCATACAATGTGATTTTCTGGATTTTTGTTTTAGATTCTGTCTCTCACAGTTGAAGTGTACCTATGATAAAAATTACAGACCTCTACATGCTTTGTAAGTAGGAAAACCTGCAAAATTGGAAGTGTATCAAATACTTGCTCTCCCCACTGTACATACATCCATACACACACACATATCCTTTTTTAAATTATATTTCCCTTCATTACTTTCCAACCCCACCACCCCTTCCCCAATTGGAGTAAACTAGTGAACAGCAATGCTTAGGCCTCTACTTCCAGCCCATACATACTATATACATTGTATGGACACAGTCAAATTCTACAATAATTATATTTTGTTTGTTTTTACTCCTGAACTTCCTCCGATCATTTTCATGATGTTCTTGTTTGCACAGGGAAGAGAACAGTCATCTCTGGCCCCCTGCTGTGCTATAGAAGGGGTTCGGAACGTTACAGCCGCCTCGCTGCCCTAAACGAGTTCCTGAAGAAACTCTGCAAAGACAGGAATGTCTCCTATTGTGACAATTTTGACTTGGAGTGGGAGCAACCAACACTCTTTAAAAGAGATGGGATTCACCCTAACCGCAGGGGTTCCAGGATTGTCTCCATCAACATAGCGAACTGCTTAAGAGACTGATAGTCCGGGTTTGGTAGCGTTCCAGTCCTCCCTGTCATAACAAGCAACAAAAGACATGGACATTGTATTATATCCCAGAGAAATAGAAGTGCAGTAAATGTAAGTAACCTAATCTATGTTCCTTTAACTGTTAGCTCCGAGGATATTGTCTGCAATAATCACATGCACATATAATTTAATTCCACTGTTTGCACTGAAACAGTCTGCCTTAGGAAGAAGCCCATTGCGGGCAGCCCACTCAGTACCATTGACTCAAATGTAAATGTCACTGAGAATACCACTAAAAACAAACAAACAACCCATAAAAAGACAAAAAACAGCCCATATTAACATATGAAGCCTGAGAAACAAGGTTCATGAAATTGACAACTTATTAAGGTCAGAAAACATTTATATTCTGGCCATCTCTGAAACACACTTAGATAATTCATTTGATGATGCAGTAGTAGCTATACATGGTTATAGAATATATAGGAAAGATAGAAATGCAAATGGAGGAGGTGTTGTCATGTACAGTGGGGAGAACAAGTATTTGATACACTGCTGATTTTGCAGGTTTTCCTACTTATAAAGCACGTAGAGGTCTGTCATTTTTATCATAGGTACACTTCAACTGTGAGAGACGGAATCTAAAACAAAAATCCAGAAAATCACATTGTATGATTTTTAAGTAATTAATTCGCATTTTATTGCATGACATAAGTATTTGATGCATCAGAAAAGCAGAACTTAATATTTGGTACAGAAACCTTTGTTTGCAATTACAGAGATCATACGTTTCCTGTAGGTCTTGACCAGGTTTGCACACACTGTAGCAGGGATTTTGGCCCACTCCTCCATACAGACCTTCTCCAGATCCTTCAGGTTTCGGGGCTGTCGCTGGGCAATAAGGACTTTCAGCTCCCTCCAAAGATGTTCTATTGGGTTCAGGTCTGGAGACTGGCTAGGCCACTCCAGGACCTTGATGTGCTTCTTATGGAGCCACTCCTTAGTTGACCTGGCTGTGTGTTTCGGGTCGTTGTCATGCTGGAAGACCCAGCCACGACCCATCTTCAATGCTCTTACTGAGGGAAGGAGGTTGTTGGCCAAGATCTCGCGATACATGGCCCCATCCATCCTCCCCTCAATATGGTAACGTCGTCCTGTCCCCTTTGCAGTTTCCAACTCCATGCTTCACGGTTGGGATGGTGTTCTTGGGGTTGTACTCATCCTTCTTCTTCCTCCAAACACGGCGAGTGGAGTTTAGACCAAAAAGCTCTATTTTTGTCTCATCAGACCACATGACCTTCTCCCATTCCTCCTCTGGATCATCCAGATGGTCATTGGCAAACTTCAGACGGGCCTGGACATGCGCTGGCTTGTGCAGGGGGACCTTGCGTGCGCTGCAGGATTTTAATCCATGACGGCGTAGTGTGTTACTAATGGTTTTCTTCGAGACTGTGGTCCCAGCTCTCTTCAGGTCATTGACCAGGTCCTGCCGTGTAGTTCTGGGCTGATCCCTCACCTTCCTCATGATCATTGATGCCCCATGAGGTGAGATCTTGCATGGAGCCCCAGACCGAGGGTGATTGACCGTCATCTTGAACTTCTTCCATTTTCTAATAATTGTGCCAACAGTTGTTGCCTTCTCACCAAGCTGCTTGCCTATTGTCCTGTAGCCGATCCCAGCTTTGTGCAGGTCTACAATTGTATCCCTGATGTCCTTACACAGCTCTCTGGTCTTGGCCATTGTGGAGAGGTTGGAGTCTGTTTGATTGAGTGTGTGGACCGGTGTCTTTTATACAGGTAACGAGTTCAAACAGGTGAAGTTAATACAGGTAATGAGTGGAGAACAGGAGGGCTTCTTAAAGAAAAACTAACAGGTCTGTGAGAGCCGGAATTCTTACTGGTTGATAGGTGATCAAATACTTATGTCATGCAATAAAATGCAAATTAATTACTTAAAAATCATACAATGTGATTTTCTGGATTTTTGTTTTAGATTCCGTCTCTCACAGTTGAAGTGTACCTATGATAAAAATTACAGACCTCTACATGCTTTGTAAGTAGGAAAACCTGCAAAATCGGCAGTGTATCAAATACTTGTTCTCCCCACTGTATTGAAGCAACATCTCAAGACATCAGTTAAGAAGTTAAAGCTTGGTCGCAAATGGGTCTTCCAAATGGACAATGACCCCAAGCATACTTCCAAAGTTGGGGCAAAATGGCTTAAGGACAACAAAGTCAAGGTATTGGAGTGGCCATCACAAAGCCCTGAATTTGTGAGCAGAACTGATAAAGCGTGTGCGAGCAAGAAGGCCTACAAACCTGATTCAGTTACACCAGCTCTGTCAGGAGGAATGGGCCAAAATTCACCCAACCTATTGTGGGAAGCTTGTGGAAGACTACCCGAAACGTTTGACCCAACTTAAACAATTTAAAGGCAATGCTACCAAATACTAATTGAGTGTATGTAAACTTCTGACCCACTGGGAATGTGATGAAATAAATAAAAAATGAAATAAATCATTCTCTCTACTATTATTCTGACATTTCACATTCTTAAAATAAAGTGGTGATCCTAACTGACCTAAGACAGGGAATTTTTACTAGGATTAAATGTCAGGAATTGTGAAAAACTGAGTTTAAATGTATTTGGTTAAGGTGTATGTAAACCTCCGACTTCAACTGTACATATGCACTGAGTTTGTCTGATGCTTTAAGCACACCGTTTGATTAAATATACAAGACACACAAATGAAGAAAGACCCCGATGGTCCCACTGATGGTCCCACTGTGTTAAAACAAATGACAGCGAGTGCCTGTGTGACTGGCGCACGTTGTTTCACTCTCCTCCCTACTGCTGCGAAAAGGCACCACAGCATTGCAAGTGTTTATTACGCTGTCCGTGCTGAAGCTGCAACATCATTTCAAGCCATTTAGTCTCTTACTTGTTTCTGACTGAAAAGTTCTGTTACCGAAATCCCTAATTTGTTTAGAAAAAACATTTCCTATTCCCTCAACCCTTGCTCTCTTTACGTGAAACATGTAAACCAGGCTATAGGTCAGACCAATAAGGCCTGACCTATAGCCTATCATAATCACATCAATAAATTGGTTATAACAAACTCCAAACACAGTAACACGTGACAGCAAAATGGATGTGGAGGACGTGAAAAATAAACTTGAAACTGTCAAATGTTTACTGGTTGCTCAGGAGGGAAAGGGGAAGTCAGATCTGTGGAATACATTTTACTTAGTTGCGGAAACTGCTGGAGATCAAGAAAAATGAGGGTATAGGAGCAAGCGTTGCGTGAGTATTATGTGTGCCAAATAGTTGCTGTTAGATTACATTACATTATCATTTGGAACAGAGTAAACAATACTAAATAAAGAAGTGTACCAAATATATATAAAGCCTTTATTACAGCAGTCTAAAAACAGTTGCATGCATTCATGAACTGCGGTTTATTTATTGTTTAGGTTAATTATTCAAAGCTCCCTTTGTTATTTAATTTAAAAACTAAAATGGTTGATTGCATTTCAAAGTATGAATGTCTCATATGCTGTGTGATGGCATGAACAAATGAATGATTGATTGATACAGTAGCCTATATATTGAAATATAGGCCTAAGTAAGTTACGGTATTAAGACTAAACAGGACGCTCTTAGGCCTACAGCTCGATGGTGGTTATACAAGGCTACTATACAAAGCCTACTAATGATAACGACATTACTTATTATTATATTGATGATCACAATAATAATTGTAATAATAACAATAAGAAGGAGATCTAGAAAAAGGAGGGTATAGGAGCGAGAGCTGCGTGCATATTATGTGTGACAAACAGCTGCTGTTAGATTACAATATGATTTTTCTTCCTGTTTGGAACAGTGTAAACACTAAATAAATTATAAGTAATACCAGTCTGTTCTACATACAGTAGCTAATTGATACCCTTTTTAGGCCTACAAAATGTCCAAAATGTCCACAGTATGGCAGCATTTGATTGTAGTAAAGGATGATGCCATAAAAGTGGAATGCAAACTCTGCAAACAGCGATTTACTTACCATAGTTAGACAACGAATATGACATACCACTTGAACAGTAAGTTAGCCTAGACTACTTAGTTTTTGTAGTTGCATGCTCAAACATTGGCATGTTTTATATGCTTGATAGGTGAACATTTCCAAATTGAATAGGCATATTACAATGTAATAAGAGTATAACACATAGCATTCAGAATTAATTTAAATGTACTTAATTTGAAACGCTGTGTATTTATAGGCGCATCCCCAGTGCAGCATGAGTGCCTCCACTGCTCGCTCAGGTTTAACCCAAACCACCTTGGACCTGAAGCCCCCCCATCTCAGAAAAAATAAAAAGAGAGATAACCGATGGTATCGTGGACTTCATTGCCCTGGACATGAGGCCCATTAACCTGGCAGAAGGCGTGGGGTTTAAGATGATGATCAAAATCTTGGTGCCTGGTTACACCGTTCCCAAGAGAGAAACTATTATGCATGCTCTGACTGCGAAATTTGATAACACAAAAGAGAAGGTCTTACATGACTGTCACTGCACATTTCATTACTGAGGCCTGGAAACTGCAGTGTCTTGTGCTGGTGACAAAATAAATGGAGGAGAATCTCACTGCAGCCAACATTGGGCAGAGATGCATATGAAATTCCTGGATGTAAAAGGGTCGCTGTGGTACATGATAACGCCGCAAACATGGTTTTGTGTGCAGATATACTGGAGCAGGAAGAGGAATGGGCAGACGTAAAAGGAGTCAGATGTGCTGGACACACCTTACAGCTATGCATCAACACCGCTCTCAGACAAGATCCCATCTGTCGCACTGTGGCTGCAGCCAGACACCTCGTGGCTCATTTTAAGAAGGGAGCAAAAGCCAGAAAGGGACCGAAGGAGGAACAGAAGCAACAAAAGGTGATTGAACACCTCCTGATCCTAGACATTTCCACGCGATGGAACTCTTTTCAGACCATGTTAGAGCGTCTGCTAGAACAGAGATTGCCCGTAACAGCAGTGCTCTCTGACCCCAACTACACTGGGGAAAATGAACGCTACCGTGATCTCAACACAGCGCAATGGAACATGGCAGAGGACATTTTGAATGTGCTGAAGCCGATGGTCACCCTGACTGAGCTTCTGTCCAAGGAGGACAACGCATCCATACCCATGCTGGCCAACCTGAAACGCTGCCACTTGGCCGTAGTGGAGGATGACAGCCCCGACACTAAGAGTCTTAAAACAAAGCTGGTGTGTGAAAATGAAAAAATTGCAGCTCAACGACCGACTACTTGAGAGTAGTCTATATGTCCAAGCAGCAGTCGTAGACCCCCGCTTCAAGCTGCTTTTGTTAGTTGACGATGCAAAACGAGACGAAGCCTACATCAACGTGTCCCAGCTGGCCGACCATTTGAGCACGGTGCAGCCTGAGCAGCCAAAGCCCGCTGAGGGAGATGAAGAGGAGGAACCCGCACAACAACAAAAAAAGAACCCGGACAAGGAGCGGGAGATCAATATGCTCATGTGTGGAGATGATGGAGAGAAAGAGGATCAAGGGGATAGCAAAGAAGAAATGAAGGATTATCGCCAAGATAGAACGAAAGTCGACGCTGGACCACTAGCTTGCTGGGGAAAAAACGAAGACAGGTATCCGAAGCTAGCCAGAGCAGCGAAATATTTCCTCTCCATCCCTGCCACCTCCACTCCATCAGAGCTGATCTTTTCCAAGGCTGGGTTTATAGTCAATAAAACGAGGACCTGCCTTCTGCCCCAAAATGTTGACAAATTGGTGTTCCTGTCTCATAACTTGAAAAATAACTTGAAAAGATTGGGGAAATAGGCTATGGCTATTAAGCGGTCTATGTGAGTAAGTAGGCCAGTCCAATACAGTTGACAGATAGAGAGATGATTAACCTATTACGCAGGCTGCTAAATGTTTGGAATTGTGAAATAGCCTATGCTTATGTCTTTTTGGTAGCCTGGGCCTATACAAACCATTTTATGTTCAGCATTAGAGTTTATATGCTGATGTTGAAGGCAGTTTAAATAGCCTAGCCTACTGTTGTGATAGCCTACAACTATTTTGTTATTCATTTATTTTCTTCGTTATTAAACATAATATATTATTTACTGTTCAATGTTCAGCTATGTTAATGATATATTTACCGTAATACTGTTCAACTATGTTGATTGAATACTAGGCCTACTGGCGGTAACGGCTGCTGTTCGTCATTTATTTTATTAAGCACAATTTTATTGTTTTTTCAATTTGTTGTGTTCTTAATAATAAACCATCTCCTCTTTATTTTATAGGCTATATGTTTTTTTTTTTTCATTTAGCAATATACACTGCTCAAAAAAATAAAGGGAACACTTAAACAACACAATGTAACTCCAAGTCAATCACACTTCTGTGAAATCAAACTGACCACTTAGGAAGCAACACTGACTGACAATACATTTCACATGCTGTTGTGCAAATGGAATAGACAACAGGTGGAAATTATAGGCAATTAGCAAGACACCCCCAATAAAGAAGTGGTTTTGCAGGTGGTGACCACAGACCACTTCTCAGTTCCTATGCTTCCTGGCTGATGTTTTGGTCACTTTTGAATGCTGGCGGTGCTTTCACTCTAGTGGTAGCATGAGACGGAGTCTACAACCCACACAAGTGGCTCAGGTAGTGCAGCTTATCCAGGATGGCACATCAATGCGAGCTGTGGCAAGAAGGTTTGCTGTGTCTGTCAGCGTAGTGTCCAGAGCATGGAGGCGCTACCAGGAGACAGGCCAGTACATCAGGAGACGTGGAGGAGGCCGTAGGAGGGCAACAACCCAGCAGCAGGACCGCTACCTCCGCCTTTGTGCAAGGAGGAGCAGGAGGAGCACTGCCAGAGCCCTGCAAAATGACCTCCAGCAGGCCACAAATGTGCATGTGTCTGCTCAAACGGTTAGAAACAGACTCCATGAGGGTGGTATGAGGGCCCGACGTCCACAGGTGGGGGTTGTGCTTACAGCCCAACACCGTGCAGGACGTTTGGCATTTGCCAGAGAACACCAAGATTGGCAAATTCGCCACTGGCGCCCTGTGCTCTTCACAGATTAAAGCAGGTTCACACTGAGCACATGTGACAGACGTGACAGAGTCTGGAGACGCCGTGGAGAACGTTCTGCTGCCTGCAACATCCTCCAGCATGACCGGTTTGGCAGTGGGTCAGTCATGGTGTGGGGTGGCATTTCTTTGGGGGGCCGCACAGCCCTCCATGTGCTCGCCAGAGGTAGCCTGACTGCCATTAGATACCGAGATGAGATCCTCAGACCCCTTGTGAGACCATATGCTGGTGCGATTGGCCCTGGGTTCCTCCTAATGCAAGACAATGCTAGACCTCATGTGGCTGGAGTGTGTCAGCAGTTCCTGCAAGAGGAAGGCATTGATGCTATGGACTGGCCCGCCTGTTCCCCAGACCTGAATCCAATTGAGCACATCTGGGACATCATGTCTCGCTCCATCCACCAACGCCAAGTTGCAAAACAGACTGTCCAGGAGTTGGCGGATGCTTTAGTCCAGGTCTGGGAGGAGATCCCTCAGGAGACCATCCGCCACCTCATCAGGAGCATGCCCAGGCGTTGTAGGGAGGTCATACAGGCACGTGGAGACCACACACACTACTGAGCCTCATTTTGACTTGTTTGAAGGACATTACATCAAAGTTGGATTAGCCTGTAGTGTGGTTTTCCACTTTAATTTTGAGGGTAACTCCAAATCCAGACCTCCATGGGTTGATCAATTTGATTTCCATTGATAATTTTTGTGTGATTTTGTTGTCCGCACATTCAACTATGTATAGAAAAAAGTATTTAATAAGATTATTTCATTCATTCAGATCTAGGATGTGTTGTTTAAGTGTTCCCTTTATTTTTTTGAGAGACAGGCTATTCGTGCTTGGAGTCAGTGATAGTCTTAGCGTAGGCTTCGGCTGTTTTAACCTAGGCTACCCTATGTTTAATTCAGATAACTACCTGTTAACTACCATAATAAAGCCATTATAAAGTTGTTACCTTGTTGTGGTGGTCAAATAAAAGTATACGCCTGTGGTGTATATTCAGGAGACTTGAAGCAAGATTGCAGTTGAAAAATAAAGGTTCGGTTTTTCCCCTATAAGTTTGCAATTCAAAGGTTTTGTGGAAAGGGGAATTGGAAGGGAACAATAATCACATCGAAATCAAATGGCAATCTCTCTTCCGGCAGCCAAACATTCCTGTCTCTGTAGGACACAGTTCCCCACTCCTCCGCCATAAGCGCTGCTGTGAGTGTGAGGCGCAGCCGTTGCAGTGGCACTCTCCAATGTGTTCAACTGAATCTTCAGTGAGTGCTTTCTACTGCGTTGGGTTGGGAAGGAGGGTAGGGTGGGGAACAGGGTTTTTTCTTCTGGTTATCTTGATCTCTGGATCCCTCTGAGTCGTGTCTTAATTATTTAATCAAGCAGTGTGCTTAAGCATCAGACAAACTCAGTGCATAATATAGTTGATTTTATTAAAACACAGGGTGTGTCTATACATGGAAAAATACATGTTTGAAAATGATGACCAATCGATTGGTCCGAAAGAACAGAAGGCTCTCGGTCAACCAATATTTTTGTTGGTTGGGGACAGCCCTAGTCGACCAACAGCCTATCGACCAAACAATCGACCAGTCGACTAAATGGGGTCAGCCCTACGAAGATGTGAAAAATATTTGTTGGTCTGGTGTGTGTAATGAGGAACATCCGGACGCTGTACTTGTAGCATTTATGAAACTGCTTCTTCCATTTACTGATAGACATGTGCCCATCAAGAAACTGACTGTTAGAACTGCCAAATCCCCATGGATAGATGATGAATAGAAAAACTGTATTGCTGAAAGGGATGAGGCAAAGGGAATAGCAAATAAGTCTGACAACACAGCAGACTCTCAAACATACAGTAAATTGAGAAATCACGTAACTAACCTAAACAAAAAGAAGAAGAAACTACACTATTGAACAAAGATAAATTATATAAAGAATGATAGTAAAAAGCTCTGGAGTACTTTAAACGAAATTCTAGGCAAAAAAGCAAACTCGGCTCCATCCTTCATTGAGGCAGATGGCTTGTTCATAACAAAACCCTTTGATATTGCCAACCACTTTAACCTCTTAAGGATCTGATCCTTTTTTTCAATTTTCGCCTAAAATGACCTACCCAAATCTAACTGCCTGTAGCTCAGGACTTGAAGCAAGGATATGCATATTCTTGATACCATTTTAAAGGAAACACTTTGAAGTTTGTGGAAATGTGAAATTAATGTAGGAGAATATAACACATTAGATCTGGTAATGTTCCATCATCTTTGAAATGCAAGAGGAAGGCCACAATATAATACAGTAATCCCTCGTTTATCGCGGGGGTTACGTTCCGAAAATGACCCGCGATAAGTGAAATCCGCGAAATAGAAAACTTTTTTTTTTTACAATTAGCAACTATTACATGTATACAAATACAGTGACTCACGTGTAGGCCGTTTCACTGCTCTTCAGACTGGGCCGCTGCATCCTGACTGCGCTCTGCAGTGTTCTCTTCTTCTGAAGCCCGCGGTGCAGGTGTGTTTGTTCGGGAGAAGAACATAGTGATAGGCAGCTGTTGTCGCTCTTTTTTCTTCTTTGCAAAAAGATCCTTGTACACCGACATGCCACCATCGATTACGTTGGAGAACTGTAATGAACGGCTCATCAAAGGGTCCCATTCCTCAGCTACTCGCTTAAGTTCAGTGGCCATTCGCACCATGGTTGCTAAGCGACCAAGCGTTAGTCCTTCCTCCTCATCTCTCGATTCATTGATTCCGTAATGGCGAGCAACGGCTGCATAGCTTTTACCTTCCCTTAGCATGTCCAGAAGTTTAACTTTATCTGAGATAGGTAGCATCTTCCGCCGTTTGGGCCCATCCGCAGGTGCTTTTGTCGGTCCAGGCCGTTTCGTCGACATTATGGGTTTAGGAGATGTTCGAAATTACAAGATAATTTGGCCAACTTAATGTAAATTTGCCAAGCTGTTTTATGTACGTACACATAACTGCACGAGACGACAAAATGATAGCACAATTCGTAGCATGTTTTGATACAAGAAGCGGGAGTGAGTTTTTAGCGAATCAGAATGCAGAGCACAATGCACCAAAAAAAAAAAAATGCATTATGAAAATCCGCGAAATAGCGAATCCGCGATAAGTGAACCGCGAAGTGGCGAGGGATCACTGTATTGCAGTTTAGGCGCAAAGTTTCAGATTGATCCAGTGAAGCATTGCAATACTGGACTATTTTGTATCAAGTCTGCCCAAATGTGCTATATTGGTCAATTGATACATTTTCAAGTACATAACTATAGAGAACATACAAAAATGATATGGTAATACAAAATGTAAGTTTACACATAACCAGGAATGTCATACATGATTGATCATTAGCTTATACACTAACTTTCACACAACTAGATGGCCAGGCGGGGTGGGTGTGGAGCCAGAGACAGCAGGGGTTCAAACTGTAGAACCCAGTTCCTACATTTGAATATAAAAATTGTTTTTTTCAAACAAAACTATGCTATATTTTATCTCTGGGACCCTTAGGATGACAAATCAGAGCAAGATTACTGAATATAAGTACATTATTTACTTTCAGAGGTGAATGTATCAAACCAGTTGTCGTGATAAGGTTTTTGTTGTTGTGCTCTCTCCTCAAACAATAGCATGGTATTTTTTCACTGTAATAGCTACTGTAAATTGAACAGTGCAGTTAGATTAACAAGAATTTAAGCTTTCTGCCCATATAAGACATGTCTATGTCCTGGAAAGTTTGCTGTTACTTACAACAGTCATGCTAATCACATTAGCGCAAGTTAGCTCAACCGTCCCGTATACGGGACACCGTTCCCATAGAGGTTAATAACTTTTTTATTTACAAGATTACCAAACTTAGGTATGACATGCAAAAATCAAATGCTGTGCCTTCATATTCATGCATAATG